GGACGTTGGGACATAACAGTAAAACTTTGTAAGAGAAATGTGATTGGATAATTTTCTTTATGCATATGTTTATGTTTATGTGACTATGCAAGTTGTGTGGATATATCATAAGCAGAGAGACTCTTGCATAATGCATAACACATAAAGCATAAATCCGACAACCATATCGCACGCAATTATAATTTCTGAAATTAATTCATTTAAATAAATAAATAAATATATACATATTAGGTGTTGGAATTAATTCGTAGCGTTTTACAAGTGTTACAAGTGATGGGAAGTACTTTCATTAATGTATTTTTTAATGCTCATGTGAAATAAATAACATTCTTTCATTAAAAAACGCTACGAATTAATTCCAACACCTAATATATATATATATATATATAATAGTCAACATCTTAACATTCAGACCGTAATGGCGCTTTGTATTTAAGAAAATGTTGTTGCGGACGTGACATTACATACGCAACAATTGTGTCCTTAATGTTCTATGGAGCGGTTCGTGCGTAAGCGGATTAACGGATAAAATATAAAATCGTTCAAACATAAAATCGTTCTGTTATATCTGCTTGCAAATTTTGCAGAAGAAAATAAACAATTTTTGTCTCTTGCAGTTTTTTTATAAAGTTGATAGTATTTGAGTAAAAAATTATTAAAGACCAATTTCGGCAATTTTTAGCAATTAATATCTTGTCAATTATTGCGAAAATTGCAAAATGATAGAGAACTTTTCTTCTCAATTTAGTCCATTCTGCTTCTGTACGAAAGATTTATCATTATTTTCCATACACCTTATGTATACGAGGTCTGTCCCAAAAGTATCCGACCTACCTCCATTTTTCGGCGCTTGGCTTATTCTTTGTCATCCGGTTGGTGGCATCCTTCGAAGTAGTCCCCATTTGATTGAACAACACGCTCATATCGATGCTTCCACTTCCCAAAGCAGTCTTGAAAGTCAGTTATTGGAATCGCCTTTAGTGCATTCGTCGCATTGATTTCAACAGTCTTCTTGTCGAATCGGTGTCCTTTAAGCGGCATTTTCAATCGAGGAAATAGCCAAAAGTCGCAGGGAGCTACGTCGGGACTGTACGGAGGCTGGCGAAGCTGTACAACACTGTGTTTTGATAAATACTGCTGCACAAAGTTTGATGCATGAGCTGGAGCATTGTCGTTTCGGTCATTTTTAGCTACTTAAAAATCCGACGAACGTGAAAAAGACACTGTAAACAAATACACACTGCATATGAACTATACGTCCTACTAGTGTCGGCGACCAACCGATAAGTTCGTAAGGTCCTACTGTTGACGTGCCTGCCCGATAGAGGTCGCTAGTTTACTTGAAGATATTCCATTTCAACTACGTCTAAATATGTGGTTTCAACAGGATGGATGTCCAGCCCATATGTCTGTCATTGCTCGTCAACACCTGAACCGCATATTTCGCGGCCAATGGATAGATAAATATGGTCCACATAACTGGCCACCACGATCACCGGATCTTACAATTTTGGATTTTTATTTGTGGAGAAGAATAAAAGACCTCGTATACCGCGAACGACTTACGACTTCAGAAGACATGAAGAACAGAATTCGAGAAGCCATTCAGTCTCTAGATCCTGTCGAAATTCGTCGGGTGACGGATGATTTTCAACGAAGAATAACAGCCTGCATACATGCACGTGGAGGACACTTCGAAAATCTAGACTGAACACATGCGTACGAACAAAGGTGACGGCAAGGGGAACCACCTTAAAAAAGCACCCCGACGAGGTGTAAGTCCGATCTTGTGACCTCCACGTGGTACATCTTGGGTAACGTTGACACAGGCGGCATCGACTGTTCAAGATCTTGATAATTAGAAATCTTTAAAAATCGATGTACACGACTACAAATGAATCTAAAGGTAGAATTTAAATTCACCAGCAGATGGATGCATCATAGCTATGTAAATACCTAGTATTGTTTGAACTATTATTTGTACAAACACATCCATATTTTTTAGAAGGTTGGTACGGGTGCTCTAAAAGTAACTTGACCTCCACATGACCTCTAAGGGTAATTTTGACCTAGGCTTGATAACGTATTCGGACGTAAAATTTTCCGCTATTTTCATTTGTGATGTCATGAATAAGGGTTTACATTTGTAAAACGGTACTTTGACCTTGAGTTATGCCCAAG